ATAGTGTAACTAACTGCCCCCCGTAATCCTATATAGTTTTCTTGGTTAATTCCTAAAGTTATATATATAATTTTCATATTTTCAGTCTATTTCTTTCTTAAATTCATCAATAAAAACACGTATTCATCTATAGCACGGCTGAAAATTGGCCTTTTCCTTTTAAATTTTTTATTTAAATAGTGTAACTAACTGCCCCCCGTAATCCTATATAGTTTTCTTGGTTAATTCCTAAAGTTATATATATAATTTTCATATTTTCCGTCTCTTAATTACGTAAATTCATTAATAAAAACACGTATTCATCCATAACTCGGCTGAAAAGTGGCCTTTTCCGTTTAAATTTTCTCTTTATATAGTGTATTTAACCGGCCCCCGTATTTATCTATAGTTTTTATAGTAAATTTCTGTCGCTAAAATATTTATTTCCACAAAATTCGTTTTCCTATACTCGTAATTTCCTAAAATTTTTAAAATTTTTCAAATCTCCATTTATTTCGCTCTTTTTGCTTTTATTAGGTCCGTCTAGTGTAGAAACTACCATCTGCACTCTTATTTGCTTTATAAAACATATAGAACTGGAAAAAATCACTATATACCTAAACCGAGGTATAGTGGTCAACCAATACAATCACATAAATTCAACTATAAATTCGCTAATAACTTTTCTAAAAATTGGTATTTTTCGTTCAAATCTTTTTTTAAATTGTGTAGTTAATTGCTCCCCACATTTCCTTATAGTTTTCTCAGTAAATTCGTAACGTTATATATTTTATTTTCATATTTTCAGTCTATACTTTCTTAAATTCATCAATAAAAACACGTATTCATCTATAGCACGGCTGAAAATTGGCCTTTTCCTTTTAAATTTTTTATTTAAATAGTGTAACTAACTGCCCCCCCGTAATCCTATATAGTTTTCTTGGTTAATTCCTAAAGTTATATATATAATTTTCATATTTTCAGTCTATACTTTCTTAAATTCATCAATAAAAACACGTATTCATCTATAGCACGGCTGAAAATTGGCCTTTTCCTTTTAAATTTTCTATTTAAATAGTGTATATAACCGCCCCCCGTAATTATATATAGTTTTTATAGTAAATTTCTGTCGCTAAAATATTTATTTCACAAAATTCGTTTTCCTATACTCGTAATTTCCTAAAATTTTTAAAATTTTTCAAATCTTCATTTATATTCGCTCTTTTGCCTTTTATTAGGTCCGTCTAGTGTAGAAACTACCATCTGCACTCTTATTTGCTTTATAAAACATATAGAACTGGAAAAAATCACTATATACCTAAACCGAGGTATAGTGGTCAACCAATACAATCACATAAATTCAACTATAAATTCGCTAATAACTTTTCTAAAAATTGGTATTTTTCGTTCAAATCTTTTTTAAATTGTGTAGTTAATTGCTCCCTACATTCCTATATAGTTTTCTTGGTTAATTCCTAAAGTTATATATATAATTTTCATATTTTCAGTCTATTTCTTTCTTAAATTCATCAATAAAAACACGTATTCATCTATAGCACGGCTGAAAATTGGCCTTTTCCTTTTAAATTTTCTATTTAAATAGTGTAACTAACTGCCCCCCGTAATCCTATATAGTTTTCTTGGTTAATTCCTAAAGTTATATATATAATTTTCATATTTTCCGTCTCTTAATTACGTAAATTCATTAATAAAAACACGTATTCATCCATAACTCGGCTGAAAAGTGGCCTTTTCCGTTTAAATTTTCTCTTTATATAGTGTATTTAACCGGCCCCCGTATTTATCTATAGTTTTTATAGTAAATTTCTGTCGCTAAAATATGTATTTCCACAAAATCCGTTTTCCTATACTCGTAATTTCCTAAAATTTTTAAAATTTTTCAAAAATCTCTCCATTATTTCGCTCTTTTTGCTTTTATTAGGTCCGTCTAGTGTAGAAACTACCATCTGCACTCTTATTTGCTTTATAAAACATATAGAACTGGAAAAAATCACTATATACCTAAACCGAGGTATAGTGGTCAACCAATACAATCACATAAATTCAACTATAAATTCGCTAATAACTTTTCTAAAAATTGGTATTTTTCGTTCAAATCCTTTTTTAAATTGTGTAGTTAATTGCTCCCCACATTTCCTTATAGTTTTCTCAGTAAATTCGTAACGTTATATATTTTATTTTCATATTTTCAGTCTATACTTTCTTAAATTCATCAATAAAAACACGTATTCATCTATAGCACGGCTGAAAATTGGCCTTTTCCTTTTAAATTTTTTATTTAAATAGTGTAACTAACTGCCCCCCGTAATCCTATATAGTTTTCTTGGTTAATTCCTAAAGTTATATATATAATTTTCATATTTTCAGTCTATACTTTCTTAAATTCATCAATAAAAACACGTATTCATCTATAGCACGGCTGAAAATTGGCCTTTTCCTTTTAAATTTTCTATTTAAATAGTGTAACTAACTGCCCCCCGTAATCCTATATAGTTTTCTTGGTTAATTCCTAAAGTTATATATATAATTTTCATATTTTCAGTCTATTTCTTTCTTAAATTCATCAATAAAAACACGTATTCATCTATAGCACGGCTGAAAATTGGCCTTTTCCTTTTAAATTTTTTATTTAAATAGTGTAACTAACAGCCCCCCGTAATCCTATATAGTTTTCTTGGTTAATTCCTAAAGTTATATATATAATTTTCATATTTTCCGTCTCTTAATTACGTAAATTCATTAATAAAAACACGTATTCATCCATAACTCGGCTGAAAAGTGGCCTTTTCCGTTTAAATTTTCTCTTTATATAGTGTATTTAACCGGCCCCCGTATTTATCTATAGTTTTTATAGTAAATTTCTGTCGCTAAAATATTTATTTCCACAAAATTCGTTTTCCTATACTCGTAATTTCCTAAAATTTTTAAAATTTTTCAAATCTCCATTTATTTGCTTTTTGCTTTTATTAGGTCCGTCTAGTGTAGAAACTACCATCTGCACTCTTATTTGCTTTATAAAACATATAGAACTGGAAAAAATCACTATATACCTAAACCGAGGTATAGTGGTCAACCAATACAATCACATAAATTCAACTATAAATTCGCTAATAACTTTTCTAAAAATTGGTATTTTTCGTTCAAATCTTTTTTAAATTGTGTAGTTAATTGCTCCCCACATTTCCTTATAGTTTTCTCAGTAAATTCGTAACGTTATATATTTTATTTTCATATTTTCAGTCTATACTTTCTTAAATTCATCAATAAAAACACGTATTCATCTATAGCACGGCTGAAAATTGGCCTTTTCCTTTTAAATTTTTTATTTAAATAGTGTAACTAACTGCCCCCCCGTAATCCTATATAGTTTTCTTGGTTAATTCCTAAAGTTATATATATAATTTTCATATTTTCAGTCTATACTTTCTTAAATTCATCAATAAAAACACGTATTCATCTATAGCACGGCTGAAAATTGGCCTTTTCCTTTTAAATTTTCTATTTAAATAGTGTAACTAACTGCCCCCCGTAATCCTATATAGTTTTCTTGGTTAATTCCTAAAGTTATATATATAATTTTCATATTTTCAGTCTATTTCTTTCTTAAATTCATCAATAAAAACACGTATTCATCTATAGCACGGCTGAAAATTGGCCTTTTCCTTTTAAATTTTCTATTTAAATAGTGTAACTAACTGCCCCCCGTAATCCTATATAGTTTTCTTGGTTAATTCCTAAAGTTATATATATAATTTTCATATTTTCCGTCTCTTAATTACGTAAATTCATTAATAAAAACACGTATTCATCCATAACTCGGCTGAAAAGTGGCCTTTTCCGTTTAAATTTTCTCTTTATATAGTGTATTTAACCGGCCCCCGTATTTATCTATAGTTTTTATAGTAAATTTCTGTCGCTAAAATATGTATTTCCACAAAATTCGTTTTCCTATACTCGTAATTTCCTAAAATTTTTAAAATTTTTCAAATCTCCATTTATTTCGCTCTTTTTGCTTTTATTAGGTCCGTCTAGTGTAGAAACTACCATCTGCACTCTTATTTGCTTTATAAAACATATAGAACTGGAAAAAATCGCCCCCCCACCCTCCCTGTTTTTCCTATTTAAGTAGACTTGTAGGAATCCTATATCGATTTTTTTTTATATCGATTTTTTATTTATATCGATTTTTTATTTATTTATTTATATTGATTTTTGTATTTCTTGCACCTGTGAGTAAAAACACCTAGCTTCGACAAAAATAGACCACCCACCCTCCCTGTTTTTCCTATTTAAGTAGACTTGTAGGAATCCTATATCGATTATTTTTATATCGATTTTTTTATTTATATCGATTTTTTATTTATTTATTTATATTGATTTTTGTATTTCTTGCACCTATGAGTAAAAACACCTAGCTTCGACAAAAATAGACCACCCACCCTCCCGGTTTTACCTCCCTAAGTAGACTTGTATTATTATATTGTATAAAAGTATTATTTGATCCTCATTTTTTCCCCTTAATATGGCTCCATTAGATAAAGACATACCACGATTTCCTTGCGACGTTAGTAATATAAAAAATCTTGACATATACATAGAAGTTATCAATCGGTTGACCACATGTATCTCTAACGCGGTAAACGAGGGAAAAAGCGTCACAGCTGTTAACAAACGCCTTATAAATCTGGCAGCTGAAGAAATCCGAAGAGCCTCAAACAGCCTTTCCACTGTACTATCAGCGAAAGCTTCACATGTCGAGGAACAGTCTTTGAAAAATGATATTTTAACCAGCGTTAGAGAGGAAATCAAAAAGCTTAAAGAAGTGCTAACTCCCACTTCCAATGCGCCTGGCCCTACATACGCGGAAGTGGCATCTATTGCCCCAAAAAAAACCAGCAATTGTTATCAAATCTACAAACCCTACAGCAAAATCTTCCGACATTCTCGCTACCTGGAAAAAGAACATTTCATTTAAGAAAGAAAAATATGCACCTGTTAAAATGCAAACAATATCAAATGGGAAAATTCGCGTAGAGTTTGAAAACTACAAGCAATGCGAGGAAGCCATTACCAAAACTAATCAGGTAGAAGGGTTACAAGCCGAAGAGTCCAAAAATAGAAGTCCTCTCATTATTCTTAAAGGAATTACAAAAGAAACGGCAAAAGAAGAACTAATTGAAATTATTTCCTACCAAAATTCGATCCCTGAGGACGCATTACGTCTTTGTTTCCTTACTTCAAATAAGAATAACGCTTTATACAATGCAGTTTTGGAAGTGACACCTAAATACTACACAACTATTACCACATACGGACGAGTAGCCATTAATCATCAACGAGTGTTTGTCGGGCCTTTCTCGAGATTTGTTCAATGCCATCTGTGTTTACAATTTGGACATACAAAAACGAAATGTGCCATAACAATTCACCCATGCGCGTTTTGTGCCTCAGAAGACCACAATATTATGGACTGCCCAAACAGAACCTCTGACGAAAAACGAAAGTGCTACAACTGCCACAAACATAATTTGAAGACCAACGCCAATGCCGACATTAGACATAATGCAACAAATGTAAAACTGTGCCCTAGAATCATCTCTATTAAAAAGAAATTAGAGGAATCTACTGATTATGGACTTACAAACTAATCACCAAATGAATAAGTATCAGAGAAAGAGTAACATATCTGAACAGAGCAATAAAATACATCTCAATAATAATTGCAATAAAACGTCTAATAATGGCATTAGATTCATCCAATGCAATTTGGGCCGAGGATATAATGCCCAACAAGAATTATTAGCATATTGTCGCTCAAATAGTGTACAAGTAGTCTTTATAAATGAACCATATATCGGAAATAATACAATTATGAACAAAACACCCGGCTACACAACATACCAATTTCCTCATAACCGTCATGTAAAGGCTAGCATTCTGATTAAAGAAGGTCTTGGCAGCTGCCTCGGGATTTCAAAATATTCAACGCCAAATTTATGTATAGTACAGCTCATCACTTCTGGGAAAAGAATATTTCTAACTAGCATTTACGTAGAGCCTAAAGACGATGAAAATGAAACATTGAACCACTTGGAACAATTTATAATTGAAACAGGAGACGCCATTCATATTATCGCGGGAGACCTAAATGGCTGGCACCAACTTTGGGGATCTCCCACAGCGAATAAAAGAGGTAAAGAAATAGTTGATATTATTATTCCTCACAATCTTACCATCAATAATACTGGCACAGATCATACATATGAAACTACAGCGGATGGAATTCTACGTGGTTCCATCGTTGATCTCACCATAACTTCATCCTCAATCTCGAATCATATTATTAATTGGCAAATAGATAATTCTATATGTCCCTCCTCTGATCACCATGGTATCAAATTTGAATATTTCCTTAATAAAAATCATATCCGTCAGAATAAGAAAAAATCGACTTACCAATATAATACTAATAATTTTAAGCAATGGGGAAAACTAAGCGAAGCCTTTACCAGAGAAATTGAACTGACCCAACTTAACAAAATTGACATCCTATCCTTAGATCCAAATAACTTACTACACTTTATTGATGAAATAACCGCGTTTATTCACAAAATTTGTAAAAAGGATCTTCCCCACTCTTCTATTCGTCCTGAGCGCCCTTCTTGGTGGACCGAAGACTTAGAAAAATTAAAAAGAAAAGTTCTTGACAACCATCACCTGCTTCAAAAACTTAGTCGAAAACGTCTTCCAATGAACGAAGCAATTACAAACAAGACCCAACTCCGAAAGGAATACGCCGAAGCAATCAGAAAGGCCTCAACTGGAAACTTCCGTGAATTCTGCAACAAACAAGGTAAGGAAGATGTGTGGTCAGTTACAAATAGATTGCTGAAGAATTCAATCCCAACCCTACCACCTTCCACCCTCAAAATAGCACCAAACAAATATACTACTTCTTCTGAAGAAACAGCCCATATATTTCTTCAAAAATTTTATCCAGAGGACACCATTGACACATATAGTTCCCAAACCGTCACCCGACAAACCATAAAATTTCCACCGAATACAAATGATGATCCTCCATTTACTATTGATGAAGTCCTCCATAACCTCAAGGATATGAACCCTCGAAAATCACCTGGACCAGATCACCTTACCTCCGACATATGCTTCTGTTTCACTCAAACATTCCCAGAACTAATAACGAATATCATGAATAGATGCCTAGCTTTATCAATATTCCCTAGACAGTGGAAACATGCGCAAGTAATTATTATTCCTAAGCCCAACAAACTTGACTATACTGAAATCTCAGCTTATCGCCCCATTGGACTGCTTAATGTTTTTGGTAAACTCCTTGAAAAGTTGGTCATCAAACGACTAAATCATTTTATTTACACTAACAACAAATTCAATAGTAAACAATATGGGTTCAAGGAACAAAGGTCAACGACAGAAGCACTTAACAATATGATTACATTTGTTAGAAATTGTAAAATCAAGGGAGATCAAGTTGCCGCTGTCTCTTTGGATATTCAGGCGGCATTTGACAATGCCTGGTGGCCCGCTATTTTGCGTAGACTCCACATAATTAATTGCCCCAAGAATATATACAAACTAATAACAAACTACCTCAGCGAGCGAACAGTTAGCATAAATTTCTCAAGCAGCAGTGCCAACAAAGCCATGAGTAGAGGATGCATCCAAGGTTCAGTTTGCGGACCGACATTTTGGAACCTGATCTTGGATGAATTACTTGAAAAGGACTTGCCCGAAGGATGTCATATTCAAGCCTTTGCTGATGACGTTACGCTCATTGCTCACGACAAAGACCCCTTAAAGTTACAGGAAATAATTAATAAGGCACTCCATATAATCACCATTTGGGGAGAGTCAGTCAAATTAAAATTTGGGCCTCAGAAAACCCAAGCAATTGCCTTCACAGGTAAAGCTGAGAAAATAAAAATATCAGTATCTGGCACTCCCATCAAATTGGAAAATTATATAAAAATTCTAGGCATCATTATAGATAAAAAACTAAAATTCATTCAACATGTTCATCATATATTGGTCAAAACAAGAAGTATATATAACAAATTATTAAAATATATCCGACCTACTTGGGGAATACAATCCGAAAATATTGAGATTATATATAAAAATGTTATTGAACCAATTATCTGTTACGCGCCCAGCATATGGCACTCGGCACTAAAATATAAACATGTAAGAGACAAGCTGCTATCCCTGCAACGTGGTTTTGCTATAAAAATAATTAAAGGTTTTAGAACCGTAAATACCATCAATGCAATAGCACTGGCAAGGCTGACTCCTATACACATTAAAATTAATGAACTGGCAATCATCGAAACAACGAAACTAACAGGCACAAGCAAATATCTTCCAACAGACATTAGTTTAGACACACCATCGAAACCAGAAGAACGATTACATCCATCTCGTCGCAAAATTATCCATTACCAAGAAGCCAATAACGCTCAAGAAGTCAATCAGATTCTCCTCGAAAACACTCATCACATCTACACAGATGGTAGTAGACACGACGAAAAGGTTTGGGGGAGCTTTTTGTTGTATATTGCCCCAATGGTAAAATTATAACTAGAAAACTAAAACTCCATAGTTCTTGCTCGGTGTTTCAAGCTGAGTTGAAAGCCATAGAACAAGCTTGTGTGTGGCTTGCAGATAAACACATTCCGAATGCAGCTATTCTGACTGACAGCAAATCTGGACTACAAGAAATCGGTAACCCCAATAGTACAAACCAAATAGTTACCAACATCCACAGAATGCTAGACAACCACAGCTTATCAGTTAATTTCATTTGGGTCAAAGCCCACACAGGTATAGCTGGTAACGAAGCTGCTGACCTGGCAGCCAAAGCTGCAGCCACAAGCCATAACGTCCCTATTCTCATAAAATTTCCAATTAGCTTCGTAAGAAAACTTGCTCAACAAGATAGTAAAGTAGCTTCCGAACAATTTTACCAAGATAACATGAAAGGTGAAAATACCAGAAAATGGCTCCCTACACTTACACACATACAAGAATTATACCAAGTCACCAAGCACTCATTCACACTAACACAAATTCTTACAGGTCACGGCTACCACAAAGAGTACCTTCATAGATTTAAAATAGTGGAAAATAACACATGCCCTTGCGACGACACTGCAGTACAGTCAATTTTCCATTTACTTAATGATTGTCCAAAATTCCAAGCTACACGTCTAACCCATACGATAACTTGCGCCAATTTTAAAGTACAACCCTTCTCCATTGAAGAAATTATTAAAAAGGAAAGCACATTTGAAACGTTTCTACACCATATTAATAGTATAATAAAAAGTCTCAAGAAATTTAACGGAACAGAATAATTTTGAACTCAAAACATGTAAAATAAATATTTATAAAACATCTCCAAGAATTCCCACAGCGCACAAATGTTCTGTATCAAATAGCAGAACGGCAAATGAAAAAACATTGCCAACTCCCACAAAAGTGATGATATTTGTGGGAAAAAAAAAAAAAAACCTAACCTAACCTAACCTAACCTAACCTAACCTAACCTAACCGGAAGTACTAATAGGAGGAGATACAAATGCGTGGAGCCCATGGTGGGGAAGTGCGAAGGAAAACGGACGTGGAGAAGCGCTTGCAGGTGCGCTTGATGAACTCGGTTTACACGTACTAAATGAGGGAGATCTGCCAGCATTTGACACAATCAGAGGCGGCAAAAGATTCAGTAGTCACGTTGACATTACAGTGTGCTCTGAAAATCTTTTAAAATTGGTGGATGATTGGAAGGTAAACGAGGGCATAACAAGTTCGGACCATAACACAATACTATTCAAAATTAAAAGCATAAAATCTTCTGGCAAAATAATTAAACGGACAACAAGAATATACAATAGCAAAAATGCAAAATGGAGTCAGTTTCATGAGAAACTGACTCAATTATTGACTGAAAGAAAAATAAACAAAACAAAAATAGACAGTATAAGAAATAGCATAGATTTAGAAAAACATTTAGAGCAATATTTAGAAGTAGTAAAAGAAGCATGCGATGCTACTATTCCAAAAAAGAAAAATCGAACAAAACTTACCTTGCCGTGGTGGAATGATGAGCTTGCTCTACTAAAGAAAGATGTCACCACCAAAAAGCGCCGAATAAGATGTGCTGCTCCCGTGCGTAGAGCCGATGTCGTTGCAGCGTACCTGGAAGCGAAAAATACATATGAATATGAATCAAAAAAGGCTCAGGTAAAAAGTTGGAAAGAGTTCTGCAGTAGACAGGACAGGGAAGGTTTGTGGGACGGGATATATCGGGTTATCGGCAGAACTACAAAAAAGGCACGAAGATCTGCCTCTTTTGAAAGACGGGAAAATACTCGATAACACCGAATCGGCAAAAATGTTGGCTGAGACCTTTTATCGGGAAGACCTAGTTGAAGCTGATAACGCAGAACACCAGCGTATTAGGGAACTAGCAGAAAAAGTCAATGAAGGGACACAAGATAATTCTTGTGACCCACCATTTACAGTCGCTGAACTAAAACACGCAACCAACAGCTTCAACCCAAAAAAGGCACCGGGCGGGGACGGATTTACTGCTGATATTTGCCGACAAGTTATCCTCCATAATCCTGAGCTTTACCTGAGCCTAGCTAACAAATGCTTAGAGTTAGGGCACTTTCCCACTGTGTGGAAAGCAGCAGTAGTCGTGGTTCTGAGAAAACCGGGGAAAGAGGATTATACGCACCCCAAAGCCTATAGACCGATAGGCTTGCTATCAATTATGGGCAAAATCCTGGAGAAAATGACTATCAGGAGGATAAAGTGGCAAATTCAACCTGGGATGAGTACTCGTCAATACGGCTTCACGCCACAGAAAAGCACCGAAGATTCCCTCTATGACATGATGGAGTATATACAAACACAACTACGAAATAAAAAGATAATTACCATGGTATCACTTGACATAGAGGGAGCCTTCGATAGTGCATGGTGGCCGGCCATTAGATGTCGATTGGCTGAGGAAAAATGCCCCACAAACATACGAAGGTTGATGGATAGTTATCTCCAGGATAGAAAAGTTAACATCAGGTACGCTGGTGTAGAGCACCATCGGGCCACTTCAAAGGGGTGCGTACAAGGGGGACCGATACTGTGGAATTTGCTTCTTGACCCTCTTCTCAAGGAGTTGGAGGCGAGGGGTGACCGGTGTCAGGCTTTTGCTGACGATATCGTCCTGCTGTTTGCGGGGGACACGGCACTCGAGATTCAGAGGCGTGCAAATGCAGCTCTCGAGCATGTTCGAATGTGGGGGAATTCGTAATAAACTGAACTTTGCGCCACAAAAGACCAAGGCTATGATATTAACCAACAAGTTAAAATACGATTCACCACGTCTGAGCATGGGCGGGATAGACATTGGCATGTCGGAGGAGATCAAAGTGCTTGGTCTTACCGTAGACAGAAAGCTCACATATAAAAGCCACGTCAGAAATGTCTGCAGGAAGGCCACAGCTCTCTACTCACAACTATCGAGGGCTGCTAAAATTAGTTGGGGTCTTCAATCAGAAATCGTAAGGACGATATACGTCGCAGTTGTGGAACCGGTGGTGCTGTATGCGGCGAGTGTGTGGGCGCCAGCTGTTAGCAAACTTGGGGTCCGAAAGCTTCTTAACACCGTGCAAAGGGGATTCGCTCAGAAAATTATTAAAGCATATCGTACCGTGTCTCTACACTCGGCCCTTGCACTGGCAAGCCTGCTTCCTCTGGACCTAAGAGTCCAGGAAGCAGCATCCCTCTTTGTAGCTAAGAGAGGAAAGCTCCAGTCGCTGCTGGGGGGACCGGGAGGTGGAGACAAGGGTGAGTTTTGTGGAACTGCTCCACCCAGCATCTTATATGGACCTGGAATTCATATGCCTGGTAGACGAGAACGAAACAAAACTCAATAGCACACAGAGTCTCCGAATATTTACCGACGGGAGCAAAATAGAGGGAAAGGTCGGAGCAGCACTTTCTATTTGGAATAGTGAAGCCGAGATCAGAGCTCTAAAGCTTAAACTGTCGGACTACTGTACTGTGTACCAGGCGGAATTACTGGCCATATACAGTGCAACTGAGCGAATTCTCAATAGCACTGAAGTAAGCTTTGGAGTTTACAGTGACTCAAGATCAGCTCTCGAGACCATTGTAAACCACGACTCCCAGCATTCCCTTGCAGTAAAGACCCGCAAAAATATACAAAACATCGTAAAGCAACAAAAAAGCATTCAACTTTTTTGGATAAAAGCCCATGCGGGTCTGGCAGGGAATGAACGAGCTGACGAATTGGCTAAGCTCGCCGCACTGCAGAAAAAAGGTAAGCCAGATTACGACCTGTGCCCGGTCTCCTACTTAAAGCGTCTCATCCGGGAAGAATCCGTAGAAAAATGGAACCAAAGATACGCAGAGAGTGAAACGGGGGCGAATCACAAAGAAATTCCTCCCATGTGTGAAAGACGCCTATAAGGTAACTAGGGTGACAGTACTGTCTCCGTTAATGATCCAGGCGATGACTGGGCATGGTGGTTTCTCCGAGTATCTGTACCGATTCCAATGCAAGGAGAACCCTTCATGCGTCTGTGAGCCAGAAGTGGAAGAGACAGTGCTACACGTACTTTTAGAATGTCCTAGGTTCGGCAAACAAAGGCACGATTTTGAAACGTTAATTGGAGAAAGACTCGAAGAAGCTAAATTACAAACATTGTTGGGCAATAAAACTACTCGAAACAAATTCATTAAATTCTGCGAAGGAATAATCAATAGGGTCGTAAAAAATAACCGAAATTAAATAATATATTTTAAAAATATTAAATTTTTGGAATTTAATATCAAACTTTATACTGTAAGATGTTTATTATCTTAATATTAATTGAAATTTAATTGTTTTAATTCACCAAAATAAACTTAGGGCAAGAATTGCAAATGCAAGATAGCCACTCGGGACTTCCTTGTGAATATAGAAAGTATATTCAGAGAGAAAGAACCGCTTTTAATGTAATTAATGTAATAATGATCATGTTTGTTGCTCTAAATAAAAAACAATAATGTACTTTAAGATAAATTTTAATCAAGTAATTAATTAAGTGACAAAGATACAAAAAAGGACTGTAAAATTAAATATCAGATTTTGTAAGCATTAGATTAAGAGTAGAAGGACTCCCGAACGAAAACCCGGATTCCTCTACACCCTATACAATAGCAAGGACAAGAAAATAAAAAACTAGAGTTAAAAGTCCGTGTCGAGCTGACAATGTCTCTGACCGCCTATGTCAGAGGAAAAAAAAAAACCTAACCTAACCTAACCTAACCTAACCTAATCAAACCTAACCTAACCCAATTGCCGTCCCGAACGCCACGTTTTTAAGTCGCTCCGCGCTTAAAAATTCCGAAAAATAGGATTTTTGCAACCAATTTTCGTGTGTGATACGTCAAAAGTTGCGCTTTGACTCGCGGTTCAAATCAGTGAAAACCGCAAGAGAATCGGAGTTTTTGTGAAAGAGATATTGTGAAAAAAGTGATTTTTAAAAAATTTTAAAATTTCTAAGTGA